TAAAATGTCAAATAAAGCACGCATGATTCGGAGATGTTCATCCCATGTGTTGCTGTATATGACGACATCATCAATGTAGGCCTCGCATCCCTCAAGGTCTTGAAGATGGGAGTGAATCATCCTTTGGAATGTAGCCGGTGCGTTTTTCATGCCAAAAGGCATTACTTTATACTGGTAAAGTCCATCTGGTGTAGCAAAAGCAGATATTTCTTTTGCTCTTTCTGTTAACGGTACTTGCCAGTAGCCTTTCAACAGGTCAAATTTACTGACAAATTTTGCGTTTCCAATGTTGTCAATACAGTCATTGATTCTAGGTATTGGATATGAATCAGTTTTGGTAACAGAATTCACCTTTCTAAAGTCTGTACATAATCGGTACGAACCGTCCTGTTTTGGTACAAGAATACATGGTGAGCTCCAATCACTTTTACTAGGTTCAACAATGCCATTGTCCAACATGTACTGCACTTCCCTTCTTAGGTACTGCAATTCTATTGGATTCAGACGGTACGGATGTTGTTTGATAGGCAGAATGTCACTCACTATGACATCATGACAAGCTGCATTAGTTTTCTTTGGAACATCCGAAAAGATTTGATGATACTCATTCATCAAGTTTTTAACTTGTTCTTTTTGGTGAATGTTCAAATGTCCAAGTTTGGCATCAAAATCAGCCAAAATTTCTGAGTTTTTCAAGCGGACACTCTGATTACAATCTTTCTCATTCATTTCTTTACTCGTATCACTTTCAATACAATTTTGAACAGTCTTAGCATTGGCTTAAGTGGAAACTGATTTTACAGAATTTCGGTCACACCTTTCAAAATACTCTTTTAACATGTTAATGTGACAAACCCGTTTCTCTTTACGTCGACCTGGTGTCTTAACTGCATAGTTTACATCACCGATCTTGCTTTCAATTTCATAAGGGCCATAAAATTTGGCCTGTAAAGGATGGCCAGGAATAGGTAAAAATACAAGAACCTTATCACCTGGCTTAAACACCCTATTTCTGGCATCTTTGTCATACCACATTTTCATTTTCATCTGAGAATTCTTCAAATTTTCTTGTGCTAATTTACAAGCATTGTAAAGTTTTTCTTAAAAGATTAAGATCACTAGTCTCAGTCAGCCACTTTTCCTTCAACAATTTCAAAGGACCTCTAACTGTATGACCGAACACCAATTCAAAAGGACTAAACCCAAGAGACTCCTGGACTGCCTCTCGTGCAGCAAATAGTACAAGATGAACCCTTTCATCCCAGTCTTTTTCATACTGGTAAAATAGGTCTTCAGCATTGTTTTTAGGGTTTGATGAAAACGTTTTAGCGCTCCCTGGGACTCAGGAAGATAAGCAGTTGATCTATATTGCCTTATACCCAACTCATGCATGACTTGCTGGAACAACCCCAACATAAAATTTAAGCCTTGATCCGACTGAATTGCCTTGGGTGCTCCTACAAAACTGAAAAACTTGGTTAGGGCCTTAACTATGCTCTTTGCCTTTATATTCCTTAGAGGTATGGCTTCAGGAAATCGAGTGGATGTACACATACAGTAATGGAAAGTAAATACTGGTTCCCAGATCTAGTCCTAGGCAAAGGTCCTACACAATCAACCAACACTCGACTAAACGGTTCTTCAAAAGCTGGAATGGGTTGGAGAGGAGCAGATGGTATCTTCTGATTTGGTTTACCTACCATCTGACAGACATGGCATGATTTACAAAACTTCGAAACGCCCTTTCTTAGCTTAGGCCAATAAAAATGACTCAAAATCTTATAATAAGTCTTATTGATACCTAAATGACCAGCCATAGGTGTATCGTGAGCTAAACTCATGACATCTCGACGATAAGCAGCTGGGACTACTATCTGGTGAACAACACGCCACACTTCATCTGGAGAAGCATCAGGTGGTCGCCATTTTCGCATAAGGATGCCATCTTTCATATAGAAGCATTCTCCAACTTTAGTAGCCTCTTCTGGTGGAAGTGCCCTCTTACTAAGTTGAATGATATCTGGGTCTTTATGTTGTTCAGAGAGTAAACGTTCTCGGCTGAGGATGTCCATTGCCTTGGCTAACTAGTGGATGCAACTCATCATCCTCACCACCAAATTTTGGTAAAAATTCTTTCTTCTCTTGCTTCTTGATATTGTGTGGTTCCATGCTGGTTTGAGTGCCATCAAGGTCAGATAAGAAAGTGTCATTCAAATCAATATCAACAGAGGAATTCGTCTCGTCAAAGGCTTGAGTATGGTCTGCCTCCATTTCTCGTCTTCTGGCCATCGCTCTAGTAACAGCACAGGCTGGATAAATGTCATCATCTTCATCATCGCACATGACATTGGAAGTGATTTTCTCACAAACTATAGGATCAGGTACAACCTTCCCACCAGCTAAATTGTTGCCTAACAACAAAGAAATGCCTGGAACGGGAAGAGTAGGTCGAACACCTACGGTAACAGGTCCAGTAACTAAATCTGACTTCAAACTAATTCTATGCAGGGGAACATCAATGACGCCTAGCTCCACACCCTGTAATAAAACTGACCCACCAGTAGAAGTCTGCTCAGACAAAGGAAGCACGCCCTCTAACAATAACGTCTGTGCAGCACCAGTATCTCTCAAAATCTGGACAGGTTTTATTTCGCTAGAGTCATCGAGTGAAACAAATCCCTGAGACATAAAGGGCTTATAATCCTCCATAGAATCAATAGAACTGGACTGTGAACCCTGGACATCAGGAGTGTTAGAACAAATCGAAACTAAGGCTTCTATATCACCTCTAACTGCCACACAAGCGTGTGGTTGAGTTTTATCAAAATCATTTTTTCTCTTAAGTTTATAGCATTCACTGATCAGATGACCCTTTTTCTTACAATAACCACAAGTAGGAAGCGACCCTATTCCAGATGATCCTTCAAAACGTCCTGGACCGGACTTAGAACCACCTTGGGATGGAGACTGGGAACTTGTGAAAGACTGAGACCCTGAACCACTCTTTTTATATGTGTCTGAATTGGTAGAATTACAGCTAGTCTGAGATCTTGAAACAAAATTCTTTTTATGAGACAGAGCATAAATATCAGATATGACTGCTGCCTCTTCAAGAGTTTTCACATTCTTATCTTCTAAATGTGTTTTCAAATCTTGAGAAACACATTCCTTAAACTCTTCTACCAGGATGACTTGGCGCAAATTAGCAAAAGTTTTATCAAGATTCTTAGATCTAAACCAATGATCGAATAAATCTTCTTTCTCTCGTGAAAATTCAACAAATGTTTGATTATCAAACTTCCTATACTTTCTGAATTTTTGTCTATATGCTTCAGGTACTAATTCATATGCTGTTAATATTGCTGCCTTGACCTTCTCATAGTCTGAACTTTCAGCTACCCCTAGTGCAGAGTATACCTCAGCTGCTTTGCCAACCAGTACACTTTGTAACATTGTTGACCAAACATGTTGTGGCCATTTAAGATTCTCTGCGACTTTTTCGAATTGGGGAAAATATTTGTCTACAGATTTTTCTTGAAATTTTGGAACTAATCTGATATTTTTTGCTGCGTCAAATTCAGTTTTGACAACTGACGGTTCTGATTGGTTTTGTAATTTTAATTTCTCTAATTCAAAGTTCATTTCACGCTCTCTTTCTCGCTCTTCTCTTTCTGCTGCTAATTTGTCTAATTCAAATTTTCGTTCACGCTCTCGTTCTTCTCTTTCTAATTTGTCTAATTCAAATTTTTGTTCTCTTTCTCTTTCTCGATCTTCTCTTTCTAATTTTTCTCTTTCTAATTGCATTTTCTCTAACTCTAATTGAAACTGATATTCTGCCATTTTGTAAGAGCCTAACTCTGATTTAACTGTATATTCTGGAAGATCGTATTTTTCAAAGATGTTTTCTTCTACTAGTTTGTTTGCAACCTTAATTCTAATTTCTTGCTTTCTCTGAGAGGATTTAACATCTAACCCAAAATGCAAACCTAATGCGATCAAGTCATCCTTTTTTAACGTATCAAAAACCTGAACACTTGGTGAACTAAGAAAGTCTGTGACCGAAAATACCATGTTGATTTTTGCTGGCTTATAGTCAAATTTAACGGTTCAATAAACAAAATTCTGACAATAAACTGCAAAAGTGGAAGAAATTCTTTATCCCGGACGAGCCCCCAATTCTGTTATGGGTCAGAATTACCCGAAATGCCAGCAAAGATCAATAACACAATTTAAACTTAACAATAATTTATTTACAGTAATATAAAATAAGTATATGAAACATAAAGTACAAACTTAGCAAGAATCTAAGAATACATACATCAGAGTGTCCGTTGCTGCACACAATGTCCCAGTGAAAACATATCCCAGTTATATCTCAATAGTGCTTATACGACAAAGTATTCACAATCTATGCATCGAATTGACAGGGTATTTATACAGAAATATAAATCTTGAATATTCTAGAAATTGTTAAAACATGATATTACTGGAACAATCTGGACATACACAAAATTTAAGAATGTTCTAGATAAAATGACCAAACATGTTGACCACTCTGGAATGTTCTACAAACTTTATGTTACTAAAATATATATGATGAAACAATACACATCTCACAACAACGGTAAGAAAATATTAGGAATATGGACAGAATTTAGAATGCAAAACACGAAAACAAGAAGATTTTCTGAAACCGTTTCTTTTCCAGGAAATCTGAACTTTCACTTTTACCTTTTAAACTCTTTAAATTATGTTTTCAATTCAGATCCACCATTAATTATTTCAGTAACCTTCTACGTGAAAACCAATATAAATTTGGTTTTTACAGTTATGATAAATGAAGTGATTAATGTAATTTGAATCACAACGAATCTTATACATGTTTTTTACCAAGAAAATAATGGGGAATCATCGTTTATTGAATGTATATTAAATAAATAAAGTACTGCAGGAATATTAACTTTAAGGAAATGAAAGTATAAAATACAACATATACTTACCAAACACTATGAATAAAAGTAAAACACTTAGATTCACACTGCTATTTTCCACCATGCTCTTTTTCTATTGTGACGTTACGTCAAGTTTGTTTGAGAGTTGGAGCTTTAAAAATCTTGTGCTGCGATATCGATTCTTTCTGAGTATGGCACTATCAGATCACAGGGGCCTGCAACATACTGTATTTGATTTTACGTACTCACTAGATGTATAAAAAAGAGATCTTTTTGTATACATATAGTGAGTACGTAAAATCAAATACAGTATGTTACAGGCCCCTGTGTATCAGATCTATATCATCTACTCTGAACAAAAAACTTTTACGTGATACTAGTGCATCACTTTAAAGGAGTTTTAACAAACTTTGTGTTTATAAATTAAAAGAAATCGTTTGAAGAAATTCTTAAAACGATTTCTTTTAAACACTAAATTTGTTCTTAAAAGTCTGGATACTTTTTTGTCTATACAATAATAATTTAATTTCACTTGTATCAAGCGATTTCATTGGCTGAATCATTCAGAGAAACATATAACATTTTGTATAACATAACTTGCCTACGTCACAATGAGTTACGTCAAAAGCGTATTACTCCGCTTGACGTCACTTTTAAAATATTGCTCAATTTGAAGCCTTTTTCCGGAGGAAATATTGTCTCATTTTCTACACTGAAATTAAATTATAAGGAATGAAGCTAATTTCAACCTATGTTTCGCGGTTTATAAAGCGTAAACTGCCCCAAGTTATGTTATATCGGATAACATAAGTTGAAATAAGCTTCATTCCTTAAATAAATCATTGCGCTTGTTTTGTATTTAAAAATAAGGAACCTCAAACAACATTTTATATTATGACAAAATACAATTCAGCAAATAAACAGTTACAACAGCTGTACAAGGACATTCGAAAACTGCGGCACACATGTACATACAATTACTTCAGCTGTTTATGTTGCTGTCCGGCTTTCGTTTTTCACAACATTTTTTGTAGGTTTCAACAATGTCTTTGTTTTGACCCGAAAGGAAACATTATAATTGAGTAAAGATGCGAGGTAATTATGGAATTTTCCGATTTAGTTTAAGCATGTTAAGGTTTGTCACTCGTCAGCGTTTTGGACATGTTTCGTCAAAACTAACTAACTAAAAGTACAGTCATGTATGTTTATATCAAATTAATTTTGATAGCATATTTATGTTAAATATTGCAAATATTACAGTAGAAGAAGAACGTTACTCACAAAATCGTAATGAGACAAAAAAGTTAGAGGATTTAAGCCCTCCATGCGTCTATTTACTCGAGGGTTGTTTTTTTTCTAATGATAGAACTATAAAAAAAATGAGTAATCTGTATTTTTAATTTTTAAAACAAACTTAATGTATTTACTTAAAAAAGTTTGTTTCAAACTTTGTTTATATCAAAGACCTTCAAAATAACATTTTTCATGAAATTGCAGATTTTGACCAATATTTCAAAATTTAGCTCAATAGTCCTAAGTCTTTTCATGATTTGAAATAAAAAGCATTGTTAAATGACAAAAAATAGAAAGAAACAAACACTGATGATTCAATAAAAATATTTAAGCATCAACCCCTTCAAACTCTAGAGGAGGAATCAAACTCTAGAGGTGCGATTAAGTAATTCCAGGGATAAAACATCCACCGAAATATCTAATGTATAATTCAAATAGTTTGATCAAACCATAGTTCGTCAAATAATTTGAAGATACAGGATATCAACAGCCTTGTTAAAAGTTGCTATATTAAGTAAGATTTTGCAATTTCTGTGGTCGATACAGTAAAATAGACAGCAAAATCATGTTGACTGGGATTTTTTATCGTACATTCATTTTAGGTCAGTGATTCTCTATTGTATAGGCCATGGATCCGTCTGTCGATCATTAGAAGGTTGTTTTTGCGACCGTTTTATATGGTTTCCTTACTCTTCTATGGCTTCTGATCCCATTTTTAGCTCACCTGAGCCGATGGCTCAAGTGAGCTTTTCCGATCACATTTTGTCCGTCGTCCGTCCGTCTAGCTGTCTGTCTGTCCGTCTGTAAACTTTTCACATTTTCAACTTCTGCTCAAGAACCACTGGGCCAATTTTAATCAGTTGGTACAAAGCATCCTTGGGTAAAGGGAAATATAAATTGTTAAAATCAAGGGCCAAGTCCCCCCAAAAGGGGAGAAAATCAAGATAAGACTAAAATAGGGGGTCATTAAAAAATCTTCTTCTCAAGATCCACTGGGCCAGAAAATCTTTAACTTAATATATGGAAGCATCCTGGGGAAGTGTACATTCTAAATTGTTCAAATCATGACCCCCAGGGGTAGGGCGGTGCCACAATGGGGAATCAAACTTGAACGAAGAAATAAAAAGGAAATATTTTTAAAAACCTTCTACTCAAGAACCACTGAGCCAGAAAAGCTGAAATTTATGTGGAAGCATCCTGGCGTAGTGTATATTTTAAATTGTTTAAATCGTGATCCCCGGGGATAGGGCGGGGCCACAATGGGGAATCAAACTTTTACATAGAAATGTATGAGAATTTTTTTTTGAAAATCTTCTTCTCAAGAACCACTGAGTCAGAAAAGCTGAAACTTACTAAATAGCATCGTGGGGTAGTGTAGATTCTAAATTGTAAAAAAAATGACCCCTGGGGTTGGGCGGGGCCACAATGGGGAATCAAATTTTACATAGAAATATATAGGAAAAATCTTTTAAATTCTTCTACTCAAGAACCACGGGGCCAGAAAAGCTGATACTTATGTGGAAGCATCCTGGGGTAGTGTAGATTCTGAATTGTTCAAACCGTGACCCCTGAGGGTTGGGTTCGGGCCACAATGGGGAATCAAACTTTTGAAAAGAAATATATGGGAAAAAATCTTCTCAAGAACCACTGAGCCAGAAAAGCTGAAACTTATGTGGAAGCATTGTTAGGTAGTGTAGATTCTAAATTGTAAAAATCATGACACTCGGGCGTAGGGCAGAGCCACAATGGGGAATCAAACTTTTAAATAGCAATATATAGGAAAAATCATTGAAAATCTTCTACTCAAGAACCAATGAGCCAGAAAAGGTGAAACTTAGGTGAAAGTATTCTGGGGTAGTGTAGATTCTAAATTGTTCAAATCAGGATCCCCCCCCCCCTAAGGATTGGGCGGTGCCACAATGGGGATTCAAAGTTTTACAATGGGGAATCAAAGCTTCTTATGGTAGTATAGATTTCAAATTGTCTAAATTATGATCAGTGGGGTAGGGTGGGGTCATAATACGTACGTATTACAAGGGAGAAATCTGGTAAAGAACGGAAATGGTCAAAGCTTCTCAGGTGAGCGATGTGGCCCATGGGCTTCTTTTTGTATGTATACTAGCTCTAACCGCTCTTAATCTATATTTTTTGGTTTTTCCATACTTTTAACTAATCTTAGAAGATGATAGGTGGAAAAGTAATAATTAATTTAAAATATTGTAAAATTACATTTTTTTTGGCTCAATTCAGAATCAGTTACCACAGCAACTATTTTCGCAGCTTTGGTATCAGAAACTGGAGTCTCTTCAATATAGCGCAGTTTCAGATACCTTAAGATGGAATTTTTGTAAACCAACAATTATTAGCCTCATCTTTTCGTCAGTTTGACCGTTTGCGGTAGCTCAGTCAGCAGCGTGCTCGCTTCGTGATGGGAAGGTCCTAAATTCAAATCTCAACAACAACTGACCTAATTCGATAAAAACTGCATAGCAACTCCTCCTTTGGTATATGCTCAGCACTTTGAAGTGAAAGGTGCGGATCCTTCGAATGAGACCTGAAAAACCGAGGCCCCATACGCGTGTCACGGCAGAAAATAAAGACCCCTCAATGCACAATGGCCCAGAGTGCCGAGTAAAGGTCAAATTTGAAAACCTTCACTGGAACATATATGGTGGCGTCTCTATATGAGTGAAATATTCTCGAATTGGACGTCACGGGTAAATCAACCAAAGGTCGGAAAGACAACCTCGAATGTATTAACATCACCGGATGTTCAAAAAATTATACATACCCTGTTTATTCACATATAGGATAGACGGAGTTAGAAGACTCGTTTATATTATATTTTAGGTAATAATTTTATATCATTACTTGAATAAAGTTGTACTTCATATTCCACAGATAAAATGTTTCAATGAATTCACGGATCGTAAAAAGGGGGTTGTTTTGGCGTCTATGTGGGTCGCGGAAATCGCGGATATTTCTTGCATGCGAATACTAGTAATAGCTGGTTTATAGTGCATTCATTTTTTCATTGATAAATCATAAGAGCACGTAGTAGTATTTTATGGTGTAAAAATAGAAGTTAAGAATTTTATCCTTTTATATCTCTTTCGCTCGACAAAAGTTGCCATTTGGAGAGAAAAAAAACAATTTTGTTTTATTGCATAAAAAAATCTTGCTTATTTTTTTTACTATGTACTTTTATTAAGAATGTTCAATCCAAATAGATTAAATTAAAAGTTTAACAAATTGTCGCCACGACCATGTTTGATGTTGATGTAAGTATAATGTCACATAGATAAAATGAAGTTGAATGCACACAATTGCAAGTAATCTTATCATATAGCGTCTGTTACAATAAAACTAGTAATGTATGAAGTATGTGTTAGAAACTGTCTTTCCAATTTAAATTATAGATACTATCGTCAGGTAAACTACAGCCATTCTCCTTTAAAGTTCACTCTTTCCTATGGCTGGAATGTTCCCGCTGGATATCCCAGAGCACCAGAATTATTGGTTGGGACCCGCCCAGATCTTGGGGCTTGTTCCTGTCGACTTCCATATTGTGTCGGTTCCATCATGATATAGGGATTCTGAGTGACATGATTACCTGCAAGAGAATTTTTTTGTGTCTTGACTTGTGAGTGGGTGAAAACTAGGTAAGATGGGTTTTTTGTTAAAGTAGAAAATTGGACAAAGAAGAAAATATTAATTCGTATTCTTATAGGGAAAACGTTTTACGTGAAGAAGTTTTTTTTCTCATAGGCAAAAGAGCTAGATCCCTATAAAGCCTTCATTCACATATTAGCCATCAACGTCCTATCGGATTTACCTTGATAAAGATCATAATATACAAATCGGACATTATCATTAATATCAAATC